TTCCATTTAAGAACTGATGAGGCTAAAGTTGACTTGGAAGTATTATGTTTCTGTTCACCATGCTTCTGTGTCAGCTGTTGAACAGTCTTGCTAAATACAAGCGTTGTGGGTGGCAACAGTTAAATATGGAGCAAGATACTGTATGTGTAAACATTTACTATTTTTAATAGTAAAATACATCGGCTTTCTGATACTACCATTGCAGTAGTTTCCCACATAACTTAGGAGGACTTGAGTCTGGATAGTTTCTGAAATTGGATTGTATCTGATCTATTTATATCTGGAAGATTGATTCCCTAGTAAACTATTCTTTATTTTTTGTTTAAATTTAATCTTGCTTTTGTTTTAATCTGGTACTCTCAAGCAATTTCACAACTTAGAGCATTTTATAAAAAGTAATAGTTATGTGATAAAATGAGTTTGAAAAGAGAATACTACTGTTTAGATAGCATTCACACTGAACAAAAGAGCTAAATGATCAGGTTCATTGAGGTTTTTAATACAAGCTAAAATGTCTTGAACCCGATGATAACCTTGTTATATCTCACGATATTCCTTTGACTTAGAGCTTCATATTGTTTGGCAAAATGCTTGTTGTCAACTTCTATGCCTCTGTCCACATCTTTTATAGAGTGCGCTATTCTAGTCAAGTGGCTGTATGTCCTTTCTGAAAGTGTGGTGTTGCATGTAGAGAACCAGATAAATCTTATACTAAACAAAAGTATAGTGAACCAACTGTGTTGTGCAGAGAAATGCTTCTATAAAGGGGGCCTGGAAGCAAGGAAAAGGTGAAACAGGTGAAGCAAGCATTGCAGGGTATGGGTGAAGGGAACTAGAAAGACTCTGGAACTCCAGTGTCATAAAAAAGCTCTTGTAGTCTTTATGCATGATAGATTTAGAGTATTAAATTGTGATTTCTGGGGTAAGAGAACTTCCTTCACATTAGAAGACAAAAGAAGTGCAAGGTTAATCTATTTGAGTCAACTAGTCTTTTTTCAGCCACGTGAACAGCAGCATTATTAAGGACGGGGCTGTTTTGGAGTGTCTTCCCCTCTGGACGAGAGTGGTGGCTAAGTCCACGTGTGAAGCTGATGCAACTTTTTGCTGCCTCTTTCCAAATTATGGCAGGTATTTCTTGGACAGCAGTGGAAAGTCTTATTTGCCACTGCTGTGTGGGGTAAGCTCGCTTCCCAAAATGGTGAGGAACTGTTGCATTCTTTTGATTTTCACTGGTGCTACTTTTGAGGGAGGCAACAGCAAAGTATTAGTTTCCTTGAACTGCAGAGAGCAAAGATGCAATTAAAGTTTGTTACTGGGACTTCCAGAAAAAACCCTCCAAAAAACAGTAGTGAAGTATTGTGTGCCTGTGTTTCTAAACACGTTAAATCACAAACTGCTAAACAGGCATCTTATCCTCCCTGACTCGTATTTATTTTTTGTTTTCTTGAGAGAGTGTTTGTGTTACTAAAAAGTCGTTGCAAACTATTGAACAATAATAATAAAAAAAAATTCCCCTTGGACATTTTACCTCCCCCATATGTCTTCATTTTGCCAAATATTTGTAAGAAAACAACCCATGACCATCACTTTATTGGGAAAAGTAGAGGGGAACTTTTGTCCTGCACACCAGCCTTTTCATTTTGGCATTGGTTTTATAACCAGCAAATATTGAGGTCTGCAGGAGTTAGTTGATTGGGAACATTTGGGTTTTTTAAAACACACAAAGTGATTTTTTTTTCGGAGTTTTTCTTACATAATGCAACTTGCCTTCTGTCAGCATGCAGAGCACTTTATTTCAGTGTGCATTTCAAGAAATGGTTATGTGTATTACTCGCTTCTATAATGTACCAGTTTTCTTTTATATCAAAAGTGCCTGTTTCTTCCAGTAGCAAGCTAAACTTTGTATGTGAAGGGATTTCTAAGAAAACTCAGTGTGATTGAGTTGTAGAAAAATGTGCACTTCACATCAATTTTTTTCTTAATTTCATAATATTGGAAAGGTTATTAATAAACTTCTAATAACAGAGTGACTTTTTTCTTACTTCAGATACTTATCTTAAAACTAATGTTTTTTGTAGGACTTGGAAAATCCCTTAATGTATGGTGTTCCCATACTTGTCATGCAGATTATTACGGCAGAGTCCACAGCATTTTAGTTACAAAGCACTTCATATGAAATGGTGATTGCTGTTCATAAACACTCAATGTCAACAAACACTGAAATGCTGGTTACTTCCAAAGAAACTGTTTCAAGAAGTAGAACCATTAAACATCATTACTAGCACCTGACCGAAACTTTTCTTACTGAAAGATTGTGTGTGTGTTTGGTTTTCTTTTTTTAAAGCTGCAGAATTCAGGAGGCTAAATAGGAGTCCAGTGAAAGAATGGTTTTGCTCCACCAGTGGAAAGTCTCGTGATCTTGAATACACTTTAGTGTCTTTCAAAGGGGTAATGTTCAATCTATGGTTTTAATGTACTTGTGATTTGATTAGTCTGTAGAAAGAATTCAGGGTCTTAGGAACAGAACAGTGCTCTCTGCTTTTTTTAGTGGCTTTTGTTTTGAACATAAAAGTTGTCTAAAATACATATATTAATTGAATTATCTTGATACTGTCTTTCTTGAAAAAAAGCAAGATGGCATCCAGAAGAGAAAAATACAGGTCAGTTTTAATGGCTTAAAATAAAATTTGCAGATAAAACTCCTGTTACTGAAGATGAGAGGAATCCTAAATTAATAAAATTCTTGTCTAGTTACGTACCAAATGCCTGGGAAAGCCTGATATCTGTGGTAGTATAGAAGAAAGTCTGTTTGTGATATCTGCTTTCCTGCTGATCACAGCTGGCATTGGTCTTTAAACCTCTGGCTTAATTCTGTGTATATTGAACGTTAGTGTGTTGATTAAATTAGTTTTAAAACAGATACACAAAGCAGTATGGTGTGTTACTCTGCTGTAGCCTTTCAGAACACAAGTCCATGCCAAATTCAAGTTCAGCTATTTGTAAACTGAATTAATAGAGAACAGAGCAAAATAAAGGTTGAATGTTTCCTGTCAAGAGGCAAGTGAGCTATTAGTCAGAAGCGGAGCTTGGATTTTGAAGAATAATTGCTCTGATTAAATGTTTGTTAAGCAGTTTTCAAAAATCATAATAATTTCTAAAGACCTTTTTTAAAAGAGAAACATTAGGTAGCTTTTTTGAGAAAGGGAGGAAAGATGTTGCAATCATACCTACCATATTATGCGAGTACAC